CTGGGAAGTGTCTGCAGACTTTGCAGTACACTGCATCCTTATCTATACTGTATTCTAGCCATTTAAATTGTTCATACCCTTTCATCGAAAAACACAGTGCCTTTCCTGCTATTGTTGTTGCTTGAAATGATTGCAACATGGTTTGAGTGGCTGGTTCATCAATGGTAGACAAATATGTTGGCGGTTCTATCACCGTTGACTTGTCTTTTGAGGCTGAAGGTAGACTTGTCTCAGACGAAGAAACTATGGCCATAGTGTTAGCCCCCATCGTCTCCACAGCTACCTGTAGCATCTCATGGGTCTTATTATTTGTTTTGGGGCAGGGCTGGTCGTCTAAATGCGGCTTTTTGAAAAACGTTGATATATTCCGTTGTTTTGACAGGTTGGCTGGCTAACGAACCAAAAACCTAGTGCTAGATAGTTCCAAGAGTGTCTGATGACAATGATAGCTAATTAGACTATGGCTACATGTGCACTGCCCCACTGCAATTTTCTTATTGGTTACAAAAGATACAGCGAGCCAATAGCAATTTTAAAATGAAATCCTGTAACATAAAAAAGCAAATCATGTAACGCAAACAAGAAATCGCACAAAAAAATGTAATTACTTGATCAGGTAGGCCTAGGATCAATCAGGGGGCCATTGGTGGCTATGCCCCAGGTGTGAGAAGCTACTAGTCAGGGGAAGTTAGAAGAGCATGCCGTTGTGTATGAGTGAACAAAGACTCAAGTGACTAGCCTCTGTAGTAACCCTGTGATGGGGTGAAGAAGAACGATAATTATAGAGGGGATTGTGGAGAGGAATAGCCTGCGAGGAAAAGAGTGAAAATATCTGCAAAGAGACTGACAGAAGAAACTGAGGTTTATGAGATCATCGTAAGATTTAAAGGGACAGCATCCTGCTAGGGTGTGAGAGCAGGGCTGTTGTGTCCACTGTATAAGTGAGTTGTGATTTGATTAGTGAGTTAGTGTGTGTGGAGCAGAGTGGTAGAGGGACCCTCCCCCTGGCAATACATGGTATCGGGCAGCTGCGTGGATATAACACAGTGATGGCTGGGCACGATGAGAGATGTGCTGGCAGCTACAGTATGAGTTCCCAACCTAAGGGTGTGAGAGTGAGATGCCAGAAAGGTTGCGAGTGTGTGTTAGAGAGGGACAGTGTGTGTAGTGTGAAAGAATCTCGGTGGTGTAGGTACTATAGTGTGTGTTTGTGTAACCCAGCCTGGTGGCGTCAGGAGAGGATGTCAGGGCTGGAGGCGGACCTGGGAGTCTGAGGCACTGGTTGTGAATGAAACAGCTACCCCCATGGCGCCACAATATACTATATTTAATTTACCTCCAGATCCAGCTGTGATCTATCATGAGACAATGAGTGTACCTCAAAAAGGTGTTCAATCATAATTCAAGGGGCAAATTTATTGCCAACCAAGAAAAAAGGGTGCAGACATACTGTATCTGCCTATTTTTTGTAATGACATGGTTGCAATCTACTCCAAAGTCAAATGTTTACAGATTTGATTGTTCCCTAAGCATTGTAGGTACATAGTTAATTTAAACATCATTTTATAAAAATAGGTTAAAATATCCTTTTACACAGGAAAAATCAATAATAATAATTGCTTACACTTATATAGTGCTTTTCTGGACACTCCAAAAGCCATTGG